ATATGGTCGATATTCGTTGAGGAGATGGTGGAAGTTGGCGAATAGAGTATGCAAATCCTCTATCTTTTCATGGCTCTATGGATGTCTCAATCAGTATCTTGTTTGGTGTAAAGTAGAAAGGATTTCTCATACCTGTTCTGGATGGATACTCATTATACCAACCAATTCTAGGAAATTCAATAGTAATGACTTTGCGAAACGTTTAAGAATCAATTTGCGATCCTCATGCTTTGCGTTTCCTGTTGGTGTGCCGGGTGGTGTGTATAGCTGTTCAACGCCCTCAAGAGGGGGAATGTCATTTTCGATCTGCCATACAAAGTCAGTATGACAAAGCCCAACAATTAGCAGCACTCAACATACTGTTTGGACCTGTCCAAATGTTCTGTAGGCTCCAGTTGCTGGTGGTTCTGGCGGTTGAAGGTATCTTAATTCAGTAGGAAGATCAGGAATGCGGGGAGGAAGTTTGTAGGTTGAATTATCGGCGATCTTGTAGTTTGAAATTTTCTCAGCGCGCAGTTTCTCTATGCGTTCTATGTTTTCAGGTGTAAATCGTTTCCAAAATAATGGTGGACCTGGAGGAACCTGTGCGATTGAGTTTGGCTGTGGTTGCTGTTGATCCGCCATTGCTTTACTTAGCAGGGTCTGTCATACCCCTAGAATTGTGGTTTCAAGTCAAATTTGTAATGAATTGAGCTATCCCGATGTCTAGTAGCTGTCGCAACATAAATACTTTGTTCTGAAAACCATGGTTGATGAGAGTGGTAATCGTAGATTTAGATTGACCATGGTGCCGAAGATCTACCGACCCTGCGGGAGATAAGGCTGAGGAAGTGGGTTTGTCATTTAGTCGTGTGCCTTTCCAAGTATGTACAAGTACATCTTCAGTCAAACTTTCTAATTCATAAACCCTAAACCACACTTTCTGCTAGGATTCTTGAATTCTCGATACATGCTTATTCAATGAGGAGAACCTGACTTCTACCACTGCGCTGTGTCGCAAGAATGTCTCGAATCGGACGGAATAATGGAGGGTTAACCTCGAAACCTGGCTGGATTGGTGCAGTAGCACGCTTTTGGGAGGTAAAGCTATTCAAACATATGTATATACAACCACCTAAAATTCTATTTTAGAAAAGCTATGCGCCAGATTATCTTGGTTTCGTATTGCTATTGACGGCATACATCTTGGTAACTTCCCTAATCCATCTTCACCTTATTATACATGCACAAGTTCTAATCAATACCCTTTAATTCAGATCGAATTTCTCCAAGAGCCGTTCCACCGCATGTTCTTTATCAACAACATCAATATTCAATATCCACATGCCCGAGTGGAAAGAGTATCTGTTTGGTGGAATCTGATGTATGCAGGAGCCGTTCCATGCATAACCTTAGCCCTTTGGTTAGGGATTTCCAGGGCGAACCTACATAAATGCCATGTCACCATGCTTGGGTTTCTCATTGGGTTGGTTCTTACATCATTCATCACAGATGTCATCAAAAATGCTGTTGGGAGACCTCGACCCGATCTGATCTCGCGCTGCAAGCCTACACCAGGAACACCAGAAAATAAGCTGGTGACCATAGATGTATGCACGGAAAGGGATCATCATACGTTGCATGATGGGTGGAGAAGTTTTCCTTCGGGCCATTCTTCATTTGCATTTGCTGGACTTGGATACCTCGCTTTTTTTTTCGCTGGACAAACACATGTCTTTAGACCTAGGACTGATCTTGGGAGAGTACTATTAGCTCTTGCTCCTTTACTTGGAGCCGCCATGATTGCGATAAGTCGATGCGAAGATTATCGGTAAGCTGGATTGCCGTTGAATCCCAATGGCAAGGACTAACACTACTATAGCCACGATGTATATGACGTTACATGTGGATCCATTCTCGGCATTTCTCTCGCATATTTTTCATACAGAAGGTATTTTCCAAGGCTACAGTCATCTAAATGTCATGAGCCTCATCCGTCACGGGAAGCTGTATTCAACCAGGGATTTGGAAAGATCAAGAACGACGAAGAGACAGAAATAGGGAGGGCCAGAGAGTCTGATATATCAGACAACGAGAGTGATGCATCCTAAATTTTTAAAGAATTAGATTATCATATAAGCCAGTTTTCCATGTCGGACCCATTTCCCTGTTTCTTGAGCCTATTAATCGTCTGAGTTTGATATACGATTTACCGCATTTGGGGAATAAGTGACTCCTTTTTGCTCTCTTTGTGTGTTTTGAACAATTCTCCGAGAAGACTCGTGGAAACCTTTGTGGCCATTATGGCGGTAATTTTCCTTTGTCTCATGAATCTTATTTTCACCGGAAACTTAGATTATCCCTTTGCTATCTATCCTAAATTTAATTCATGTCATTTTTACTACCTTAATTCTTGATTTCTCATTCCTATCCAGAAATTCATGGGGAATACCATGTTCTCTCTTTCAGTACGGCAATATTGAAAGCACACTTGAAGACTCGGTTTGCACTATGCAAGTCTTCTTCGAATGCCTAAGAGATCATTTGACCCATCCACCTTAAGTCGCACATCACTTGTGAACTAGAAACAAGATGGCTGACGCCCCTCCTCCGAACAGGCGTGGCCGATTGCGAACTCCAACTTGGCGAAGAAGATTCGGACGTGGTTCCCAGTGGCTGCAAAAGTATCTCCTATTGCTATTTTCCGCTGGAGCATCTCTCATATATCGGGAGTGGTTTACTTCACCACTCAGTGCTCTACTAGGATGGGCAGGCGGAATAATATTTTATCATCAAGCCTACTGGCTGGCCAACATTCGCACATTTAAAGAAGTACAGAAATGTAGCTCAACATTGGAGGACGCAAAGAATTTGGGGCCAGGTTATTACTTTCGAGAGATCAGTAACGATGAATGGTGGTTATATATGGCTTGCCTAGGAAATGAAGATGGTTGGTCAAAGGGGCGATTGGATGGTTCAGTTAGTAAACACAATCTTTAATTGGTTGACAATACTAAAAGTTAAAGGGCTTTATCTACCAGTTCATTGCTAGACTATCCAACATTTCGGTACCAAATTGGCACTTGGTACAGTTGGTGTTACTGCTGGTATATGTTAGTTGAGGAACATCTTCCCTGATTATCGAATTATTATCGTCTAATAAGGTGCCTATAGGTAATCAACCTATTTTTTTGGTCCTTACTACAATCTGTAAGTAATGATATCCATTCTTCGTTATTCTATTTGAAACTTAAAATATTGAATAGTTTGAGCAAGGACTCTCTGGATGGGCATTGTTTCCAATGGTTTTTTCCGCGGGCGCGGTCATCAACAATATCGTTTACGCAGTCCTCACTTTTTGTATTGACCCATTTGCCTCATTGCTGGGCTCCGCGGTGGGCTCAGTGTTAGAGGTTTGCTTGATTGCTATCGGCTACATCAAACTTTTTCCGTCGATTTTGTGGTATGGGTTCCTGTTTGTTGGGCCTCCCGAATTTCTATATATTCTACGCCCAAGAGTGGATACCTCTACGTGCTGCATCAATATTTATTGAGCGCCGAGACAGGCTTGCCGCTGTTGGACGTGATTGGGAAGACAATCGAAATCAACAAGACATGGAAGAATTGGAACTTATTTGGCCCTGGCTAGCAGGAAGTTTCAAACATAATTGTTTCAAACTTGCGAAAATAATTGTCCCAAGTCTTGAATCTTATAGCTAGAGTTTTAGAAGAGTTCTATTTCCTTTGGATATTTTGTGGGAGCTGCTGGCATATTCTACAGCGAATCGCCGACCTTACAAATCGCGAAGTTGCTTTTAAACTACAAATAGATCTTCTTGAACGGCGATTAGCTACAGCCTTGGTGAGCGAAAACAATTTCCGGAGGAAATTTGTGCGGCTGCTAGGAATGAGGATGGATTGCATAAATACACACCACGATTTCAATGATCGAGACGAGATACTGCGGAGAACACGTGAATTAGAGCGACAGAGAGACGACAGACAGATGGAATACGACGAACTATTGGCAAAGTACACAGCGCAGCGCCAAGCTTCAAGTGCGTTGATCTTGGCTAGTGGCCCCGCGAGAACGGTGGAAAAATTGCTTAATGAATCTCTTCATACAAAAGATTTGCACCGTCAACAGATCCAAACTCTGACCGCTTCACTTGTTGAAAGTAGTGCTGAGATTGCGATACTCAAAGATAAAGTCAAGACATTGGAACAAGATCTCGAAACTGTCAATGAAGGGAAAGCAACATTGTTATGGCGAGATATGGAGAAGCAAAATATTGAATTGAGGAAAAGGGCACAAGAAGAAATCTGGGAACGAGACGTGAAAATTAAGAGGCTGCGGGATTATCGAGATGACAACCCTGTTACATCATTGAGTTTGGATTCAAAAGGACAACAGATTTTGAGAAGACTGCGAGAAGAATTAACTAAGGTGGAGGATAAACTTGCCCACTCACAAATGATAACTGCTAAATTGAAGAATAATGAAGCTAGAATTGAAGAAATCAAGAAACAGATCAAGAGGGAAGCATTATATGGGGCATCGGAGGGCATGGGAGAGCTTTATACGAATGCAGCTATTCAGGTTAATGAGTTATCTGAGAAGCTAAAGAGATTTGAACACCTTACTGACCCGGAGCATGATACCGAGGCTGTTCAACGTAATTCTAACGAGGAAAAAGGGAAATTACGACACGAAATTGCGGAAAAAGACACGCTAATATCTACAGTTAAAGCGCAAATTGATCATGCAATGGGTTGCTTGGATTGGACTCACAATAAGTTCGAGCCTCTGGACAAATACTTGGGTTTTGTGCCTGGGGCAAAAGAGGAGATAAGACGTTTAGTAATCGAACTCCGGCAGTTTCATTTACTCAGTGAGGTTCACCAAGAACCAGAAACAATTGAACACCTGCGTCTTTTAGAAGATTTGGCCCTTGGTAGAGATCGTTTGATAGACCAAAGACAGGAACTGCGAGTTCTGTGTGATGAGCTCTTGCATGAAAGACTCCGGAATGAAACGGAGTTGGAAACGCTAAGAGATGGAGTAGCTCGGAGGAACTCACAGGTAACTAATCTGCAGACGCGGAACACGGAACTCCAGGCTCAACTAATAGAAGCGCAAGTGGCTGTACCTCCAGTCGGGTCACCCGATATTACGGGAGTAACTGCTCCTGTAATAGAGAATTTTAGAACGAATCTTTTAGCTCTAGAAATGGAGATTCGGAAGAGGGGTATAGAGATTCAAGATACCGTAGGGATTCCGGGTGTTGATGGTTTACCGAGAGTAGAAAGAGAGCCGGGAGACCTTTCTATGATAAGAATTTTCGCAGGGCATAGAGAAAGATTTGACGAACTATCAAGGATAGTTGGAGAAATTAGACCTACTTGGCTAGGAGCGGCAGATGATTGGGTTGATGACGATTCAAACAACAGTCCGGAGAACTTGGAAGCGCGGAAGCTAAACCGGGTGCTAAGATTAAAAGACCTTTGGGACTATATTGGAACATTACATTACGACACTATTCTTTTCGTCCGCGATATTTGTACAAGATTAGGAGTAGCACCAGGTGTCGAAGCACCCGAACAGCCCCAGTCTCCATCACCTGTACCTTCCTCAGCTCCTTCTCCCCCAACTCTCCCTTCCAGGGATAGAAATCTATTTCCCGCACAATTTACACGCTATAAGTCCTTCGATATTCAGAGATGGAATGTCTTTTCGCTGAGTCATGGAGAAGTAAATTCTTCGCGCAGTGTCCTGAACGCTCTGCAAGGATCCATTCAGGCACAAATGCCAAACTATTTTGCAGAAAATATTTTTGCCGGTGTGTTACTCGCTCGGTTAGTGCGGGTTGCCACCCATGATGGATCCGTGGACGACCCGGTTAATGAGCGCGATGTAGCTGAAATCTTATACGGGCTTAACCATTCATTTGTTTTAAAAACTGTTACACAGTTTCCACGACAAAATAAGGGCTTTAAATATTTATCTCGAGAGATCATGTATCCAGATACGTTGGACGTGCCTCCACCGAGACAATTCGTCGTGTTGTATTTGTCTGGTAATCTTTGGCAAGGCATGGGCTTAAAGCCACTAGAACTAGTAGAGTTCAACATAGCAGAGTGGAAATTAGGTAACTTGCGTGACAGCTGGATGATACCCGGACAGGACACTATGCGTAAAAATTTGTCCTCGATTTGTGCAGTTGCACTATCCTTTCATTGGCAGTATCCAGGTGTACTACCCCATCATTTGAGTGGAGCCGAGGTCTGTGAAAATCTGTATGAAAGATTTACTACACTTCACCCACATGCTGGGGGGGTCTATTTTCCGGGGCATATTCAAGTGGTGTTGGATGGTATACTAGGAAATCAAGATAACAGACCACACTACCTACTCGTAGTCGTCTCGTGCCGCGAAATGGCTGCTGGAGATGTAAGATATTACGCCACTACTCCAGGTGGTGAGTCACAGAGTCCCGTGCTTTATATATTTAGTGAGCTAGATGGTATGTTTAATGCAATGCGGAGGAGGCGGGATGGTGATTCTGAAGACATGGCTGCGGATATAGACTGGATTCAAAATTTTCAGCAACCATCTCCGGATTGTTCACCAGCTCATTCACCACCACCTCCAGCAGAGCATCCAGCAGATCCTTTAATAGGTCCTCCAGCAGGTCCTCCAATAGATCCCTTAGTAGGTCCTCTAGTAGGTCCTCTAGTAGGTCCTTTAATAGGTCCTCCAGCAGATCCTTTAGTAGATCCTCCAACAGATCCTCTAGTAGGTCCTTTAGTAGGTCCTCCACCCCGTTTCATGATAAGAGATGAAGATTATGGAAGAAACGTCATCAGAGCGCCATTTAATAGGAATGGTTGGAATTTTGACGTCAATATGGCTCATCTAAATGAAGGACTGACAAAGCGTCACATGAACTGGATACATAACTGCGGCCCACGAGCATTGTATTATTCAATGTATAGTCAACTCGATATGGGGACTTTAAATTGGGGAGAATTTTCTCAAATATTTGAACAGGTTTTTCCCCGTCACAGCAATGCCTGGGGGGAAGAAGAGCTTGCTAGACTGTTGAAATGGCACCCACGATTGGGAGGATTTACACTTGGTATTGTCCATGGTGTTGCTTTTGGTGAGGAAGCAATCATGATTGATACTTGGTCCCAACCAGAAGGTTATGATCCTGAACATGCCCTGATAGTGTATGTTGCCTCAATTAGAGACGTGCGATTCCCACCTGTAGTCGGTCAACCAGATCATAGAGATCACTGGGTAGGTATGAACTATCTCATAGGTGAAGCACCGCCGCCACATCCTCCATTACATATGACTCGACCAATGGTACCTCCTCCATCACCTCCGAGATCATTATTTAGGCCCTTGTTAAACGCATACGCCAGCGTACAAAGGAATAACAACGATCCTGTGCCCATAAATAATACGGCTGCTTGGGCTGATTTTAATACTAGGGAAAGTTTTGCATCTAGGACTGGTCAAATATGGGTACCACCACCAGCACCTCCTGTAGCTGCACCTGTCATGCAACCAGCACCGCAGCAAGGCTTGGATTTCGCTGCAGCAGTGTTTCGAAGGTTCGCGATCGAGGCAGCCGCTACTAACACACAGCGAGCACAGCAACAAGTTGGTACTGCAACGCAAGCGCAACCACAGCAGCAACAAAATCAAGCAGGCTTCGGGACGAACACGATCCCTCTTAACGAACAGCTTGAATTTGCACGTCGACTTCGAGAAGAACATGCTCTTGGCGGCGGTAATGCGGGTGGGAGGGGTGTGGAACCGCGGGATCCTAGGAGAGAGAGTCCGCATGGAATTGAGAAGGGGGGGGGGGGGGGAAGAAGGGAGGAAAGGGGAGGGGAAGGGGAAATGATGGTGGTGGAAGGGGGAGGGGTGAGTATGGAGCAGAGGGGGGAGGAAGAGGAGGAGGAGGGGAGAATGATGGTGGTGGGACGGCTGGTGGTAATGATGATGGTGCATATCCGGGGTGGGAAGATGATCTTTGAGATGAGGATTAGTAGCTTAAGGGTATGATGGAGCTAGGTTCTTAGACGTTTGTTAAAGTAGGATGGTTTTGATAATGGCTAGCAGTTTTGTTTTTTGTACTACTTGAACGAAGATAGGGTAGGGCTGGGCGAGATAAACATCCTGAAGGGTATTTTGACGGATTTCTGGGATGCTCGATTTACTGATTATATTCGAGAAATTAAGAGAAAAGATTGGAGAGTTGCGTTTTACTATGTTATTATTGATTCGTTATTATTAGTTTAGCAATGATATTTTTTTCGAGGAGTGTAGCAAGGAGGAATTCTTATGGCAGGGAATTTGAGAGACTATTTTGGTGGAGTTTAATCTGAGACTAAAAGAAGTGTAGATGTTTTAACTTTCAGGGAAAATTAAAATTTCCGGTTGATTGAGTCAAGAGTGAATCATACACAGTTTAATACTCAAGATCATTTTGTTATTACGTTCGGATTCTATCATTCTCAACAGATTAGACTCTACATAAGAGGCCTATTAATCACTTACAAAATCTGACTACTCCACAGACTGATACACAAACAAACTGGCCCCACAATACTGAAGAATTGATCTTGCATGATTATAGATGAAGTTGGGAGAAATTTCGCGTCTCTAAGCCGGTCCACTTAGGAGTGAGGAACATCATATGATTGTTTCTAGTTGAAGCACTCTTATAATTACTATGCTGAAATTGATTTTTAGTCAATCCTAGGGCTTGGCATTCTATCGAGCATTTGTTAACATACATTCATTTTTATCTGGTTATTTGGCTCATCTCCCAAGATCAACAATGCAAGTGTTCCAAAACAGCCTTCGTGGATGTCACAATAGTTAACATATTGCTCTCCATCGACTCATTTGTGTCTTATCTTTCTTATGTAATAATTCGATGACCTAAGGTTCTCAATCACACTAACATATTTACGGTTGATTTCAAATATCTTTCAACCATTGGAAAAAACTTAAAATTTACAAATATGGAAATGGTGAAAGCCAGCATGTAAATTCGGTTCCAGTTTACAGGGGCTTTGATACTCAAGCGAGGCGAGCCTAAAGCCCGCATTCCTCCTTTACCCCGCATTTTTCCCATGCAGTCGATGAAATATTGGAAGAAAAGCTCCCGACCAATTAAAAACATCAATTGAAAATCTATACGTCAACTTAAACACGACTATTTAGAATTCACATCAAATCAATATCTATGATTCTTCGATACTGTAATGCAGATTTAATTATGTTGTACTACATTGACTTCTACCCCTACGTCACCACTCAACGAACTATTTTGCCAATGAGAGTATTGCAATTAGAAATCTATACGTAAGTAAACTTATTCGTGACAACCCCCCTGGCTTCCTCGTATCTAGCAACACACTCCAATACTTAAACCATTCATTCTCTCCCACCCTACTCATCCATCTCACTTATCACTTACTAAGTACCTACACAAATGACCATTCTCACAAGAGCAATTGGCTCTTCAGCACGTTCAAATCTAATATTCTCTTCAATCAAACGAAATACTATCGTAACTCGCGCAACCATGACTACCATCACCGACGCAATTCTCAAAGACCATCAAGAGATCAGGGAATACGCTGATAAGGTCCGTCAAGCTACCGATGATGATACTCGAGGACGCTGGCAAAACCAATTTACTTGGGAATTAGCCCGTCATTCTATCGGAGAAGAATTGGTAGTTTATCCTGCTTTTACAAAGCATCTTGGTATGCAAGGCCAAAAGATGGCCGATGAAGATCGTGCCGAGCATCAAACTGTACGTTAAATTATTTCCTTTCGAGCGAAACGATTATGCATCAAACAATAACTAATAGCAAAACCATAGGTCAAAGAAGCGCTCTACAAATTCCAAAATCTTAAACCCTCTGACGCAGACTTAATTCCCACACTCGACGCCCTCATGAAAAATCTCAATGAACATATCAAAGGCGAAGAAGCCGATGATCTTCCCGCCCTCGAGTCGGCTCTTGAATCTCATGAATCTGAATCTATGGCTAGGTCATTTGGTCGCACCAAGGCTTTTGTTCCTAGCCGTAGCCATCCTAGTGCACCGAGCAAACCACCCTTTGAAACGGTTGTTGGTTTGATGACGGCTCCGATTGATCACTTGGGAGATATGTTGAGGAAGTTTCCGGATAAGACGATTAGTCCTAATCCTAGTACAAAGTGAGGGGTGGTAATGGTGAGGCTTATGAGGTATTTTGGGGGATTAATGGATGGACGTATTTGGGAGTTTTTTTCTAGTTAACGATCACTTTGAGCCATAAAATGGTAATCTTACATGAATTTTGGAGTTCTCCCGTTTAGTTAATTGCTGGAAAACGGAAATCCCCTTCATGAATATGAAGACACTCGGTATTAGGCCTGTAATTGCACAATTAAAATAACTGTATTACCGACGGCGTATGTTTCATTGCATTTACAGTCCCATGAAAACGTCAAAGTGACAATATAAAAGAGCTTCTATAGCACACTACTCGTATTCATTTTCTAACAAATAGTTTCCTTTGAAAATCTTCACCAAAGCTATAGGTTACCTACAACTCCTCCACCTTGGCGTTTGCGGAGAAGACAAATGGTGATCCAATAAAATCACTTATATTATATATTATGTCCATCGGAGTAACCTCCGGTCAAAGAATACCTTGAATCCAGACCATAAACCATGATGAAACATGGCTTACAGCCATACCGGTAATCATAATTTGTATACGTCAGAACGGCACAGAGAACTTCTGTTTTCATCAGATACGTCATATTAATATGAGCAATTATAACAATTGACTTTAAATCCGTACCTCTCCTCCAGAAGAAGCAATTCAAACTCCCCCTCTCTAAAACCAACAAACATCTCACAAGAACCAAACAATAATTGCCACACCATTACCAAAGAAATAAGTTAATGGATGCAATGACACAAAACGTCCATCCCCTCCAAGCAATCCAATCGGCCATCGGCAGTGCAGGCGGCGATCCTCGTCCCCTGCAACGAGGAACTCTCTTCAACAATGCCAATGATGGGCCCGCAGCAATCATATCCAAAGTAGCAGGAGTACAAAGCGGAGGTATGCGTGAAGATAACGGTCCTTACTTTACCAACAATGAAGGAATTCCCTTTCCGGATCCGGCGCATAGTAAGACTGTAGGAGGTGTGCCTGTGGCTAGTGATGTTTTCTTGTTTCAGAAACAGCAGCATTTTAATCGGAGCAAGAATCTTGAGAGTGAGTTTTGACATTTTATATTGAGGAAGGATTGAAGTATGTATTGATGTGAAATAGGAATGGTTCATCCTTGTGGTAGTGGAGCTTTTGGTTATTTTGAGACGACGGCGGATGTATCGGATTTGACAAAGGTAAGCAATCACAGCTTTTTACCATTTTTTGTATATCATACTTATATCTTGAAAGGCAAACTTCCTCAATGGTAAGGGTGTGAAAACTCCCGTTTTCATACGTTTCTCCACCGTCACCGTTGGACGCGAGTTTCCAGATCTAGCACGCAACCCACGTGGTTTCGCCATCAAATTTTATACCGGAGAAGGAAACTACGACATTGTCGGACTTAACTTTGTATGTTCTTCCATCCCATATGAAGGGATCTCTCTAACCCTCTAACAGCCCGTCTTCTTCTGTCGAGACCCCATCCAAGGTCCAGATGTCATTCGTTCACAAAATCGTAATCCCAAGAACTTCCTACTTGATTACAATTCTCTTTTTGATCTTCTAGCTCTCACCCCTGAAGCCAATCATGCAGGAATGATGTTCTTCAGTGATCATGGAACTCCACAAGGTTGGCGTTTTAACCATGGTTATGGTTGTCATACGTTTAAGTGGGTGAACAAAGAGGGGAAATTTGTTTACATCAAGTATCATTTCCTTGCCAAACATGGTCAGAAACAATTCACGGCATCAGAAGCCACTACGCTTAGTGGAGTGGATCCTGATTATTCTAAGCGTGATCTTTGGGATGTATTGGAAAAAGGAGAAGAAGTCGAATGGACGGCGAATGTACAAATCATGCAACCGAATGAGGCCGATGCGACCACTCTTGGTTTTGATCCATTTGATGTTACAAAAGTCTGGCCGAGAGATAAATTCCCAGTAACTTTGTCCAAAGTGTCTTAACTTGACCATGAGTGCTAACCCAGATATAGATGCACGAATTTGGCAAGCTTGTTCTCAACAAGAATCCGGAAAACTTCCACCGTGATGTTGAACAAGCCGCATTCTCCCCAGGAAGTATGGTACCAGGTATTGAAGATAGTCCGGATCCACTATTACAATTCCGAATGTTTTTCTACCGCGATGCACAATACCATCGAATTGGCGTAAATCTACACCAAATTCCCGTAAACTGTCCATTTATGGCCAGTTCATACAGCTCACTCAATTTTGATGGCCCGATGCGAACTGATGCCAACCATGCCGGAAACCCACAATATGTACCCAACTCTTTCAAACACAAATTCCGTCCCGATGTGGCTGAAGCTCCTTATGCCGTGGCAGATAATGTTGTATCTCGAAAGAGTCATTTCTACCACGAGGGCAAACTATCGGATTATGATCAAGCGAGAGAACTGTACAAGCGAGTAATGACTGAGACGCAAAGAGATCATTTACATCAGAATACCGCAAATTTGTTGCGTTTTGTTGATGCAAAGGTTATTAAAGTGGGCTATCTTGCTCAGCTTTGGAATATAGATCCTCAATACGCCAAAGCTATCTATGATTTACTCCCAGAAGCATCAAAGACGGGTTCAGAGGGTTTTGAGTTTGTAGAAGTTCAGAATAAGGCAAAAGGAGCCGAGTTAGCAGGGAAGGAAGAAAAATTTAGGCCTAAGGATGCGTCTGAGAGATTGGTTGGATTCAATCCAGGAAATATCTATAATATTTGAGGGAACCTTGCGGAATTGATGAAGGGTTCGTGAGCCCAATCGTTCAAGGAATCGTTCGTTTTGTCTTTGTGCGATTTAAGGTGATAGAAAATCGGTCTTCATTCCAGAACATAAGGCACGTCAGATATTTTAATGAAAAACAATTGGATTGATCTCAAACCAAAGAAGCGTGTATTGCCCTACTCTCACGGGTTTCAATGTGAAATAGAGAACCTTATCATGCAATTGGGCCAGCCGATGATGTTGGTGGAACGGGATGCATCAACTTGTCTTTGATATGAGATAATGTTTCTCGTACTCCATGATGATTTTCGTGATTAGAATTGTTATTAACCTTTTGAGAATCTCTATTCTTGTAATGACTTGCTTCAGGTTCGGAGTTCTGAGGATTATGATGCGGATTAGAAGGACCAGAATCAATCGAGGTGCTCTGATGGGCTCTAGGGCTGATATCTGTACGATAGTGCTTGTGGCTTGGGGTTTGAGATAGAGATAGACGTCTGCCAGATGAAAGGCTGGATATTGGCCTTGGAGCCAATCCGACAGCCTGTGGTGGAAGAGGTTGGCCATTTGTCACTGCTGGAATGACTTGGGAGTATTGAGGTACGGCAATCGCTTGTGGACGATTTGCAGTTTTTATCGCATTACTTTCAACTGGAAGAGCTCCAGCTGGTAAATTCAACGGCTGAGCTACTGCTGATGAATAAGGTACTGAAACTCTCGGCAATCCATCCTGGTGAAAACGCGCAGATGGTCCTATGTACTCGTTAATCCTCGGATCGATCATGGCACCATCCGTTCTCTTTCTCGGGAGTGGGTAATCTCGAGCAGGTTCATTTCTATTCCTCGAACGTCTCTGATCATAATAATGCTGTCCTCTGTGCCAAGAGCTTTGTCGGGATATTAAACTAGAACGTTTATGATGGTGGCGGCGATGTCGATGGGGAGGGTAATGATGTGGATGTTCTAAGAGCACACCTATGATCTTCAAAGTAGGTATAGATTCGACTGAATTGTCGTATTCTACTTTTTGAATATTCTTGCTAGGTTGTACTCTCAAGATCGTCAAATTGCTAGGTAATACCCCCGTATTCTGGAAGGACAGACCTGTTTCAGCTTCTTGAATGGTTCTAAAAACACTAGATGCATGAGCAGCTTGAAATTGATTAGTAAAGGATGTTATAGTAATATGTAGCTAGCTATCCACTCACGGATAATTGGCTCGAATAATAAATTGATTTTATGATGACTTCCATTTAACATCTGTAAAAGACATAACGAAGCTTTCAACGCCATATAATTTCCATGCCTGTTGCTCACATACATATGCTTAAGACGATTCAGGACTCGTTTGTTCGATGGCATGATTTCCCAGAGGAAAAAACTTTGAGAATTATGTCTAAGGTTGACTTTTCTGAATTTTAGTGTTCCTTTGGTGGAATGAGGTTTGTTCCTTGGTATTATTGGATTTACTGTGCTTCGAATTCCAATCCATGGATCTTTCGACCCTGATATGTATGCACTAATTTTCTACCAACCATCAGTGATCATGGTTGGAAGGAAAGCGACGGAGAAATACTTACAGTATTTTTATTCCCTAGAGGTTCTTTGGATACATCTATTGTTTGGTAAAGAATATATAATGTATTTGGTCTTAAGACTCGTATGGAAGTCATATTGATGACTGGAGCAGGAGTGAAGAATTGCTATTTCGAGTGACTCGGTGTAATTTCAAAGCTTGGTACTGAGAGTGAAATTAAGCTCAAAAGGATATCTTCTTAATTGTACCATGTTGACTCAAGAAAATGACGCCATATTGCTACGCCAAATACCTGCAGATTATTTCCCTTGAATTAACCAACAGCCTGGAGTGACGTACGGAGAAATGATTGCTTGATAAAAAGGCCTGATGGTCTCCAGACGTGCAAATATGCAAGCGCCTAATGTCAACTTTTAAAAAGTCTGGTTTATTGGCAATCTCGCGGCCTTAATATCGACCAGATGATGTAAGATTAGATTCTAGAACAGCAAGCGGCTGTAGGCGCTTCTATCAGGAAGTTGAATGCATGGTAAGTCATGTTATCAAACCAACGAAATCGACGTTATCGAAGGGGAAGAGAATGGCCGGAATGAGAATTTTGACTTGCCTTATGAGAAGAAATAGAGTCCCTGTGGTTGCTGGTCTATATTAAAGTTTCGACAGAGCATTTAATGAACGAGTTACTTTGAACTTGTGCTTGTCATTACACTATGATGAAAAGAAATGAAGGGATGTGATGCTGATGACAGGTTATGAAAACTCAATTTTTGAATCAGATATATAATGGATGATTGAGACAGCGACGAGTTGTGTACTACAGTGATCGGGGCAATAGTTACTTCTCAGCATCGAATATTATCATCAAATGTCAGTTTCTCCTCCATCAACTCACATTTGTGAGCTGAAGATGATAGAACAATGGAAAAGTTGGACATGAAATGTAAAATGGGGAGACAGGAATAGACCATCTAAATCCTCTTGATACCCGAGGAGTATGTACTTTATTTTTAAACCCTTCTAGTTCATCAATAGCTACCTGCACAACAGAGTACTACTCTATGAATTCTCCCATAGCCACGGAAAAATATTATCAGCATGACGACAACTTGTCAATCGCTTCAATATTTGTTGTATTCTCGTGGAAGCAGAAATGGAAGATCAAAAATATGGAAGTGGAGATGAACGACTTGGTGATGCTACACTGCATATGCGGGGTGCAAGCCACAGAACCTTCGCCCCAACATATTTTCCATCTATAGAATGAGGCAGTGCATCATGCAATCAATTATTTGTACAGTAAGACTCGAGTTTCACAATAAAATCCTTCATCAATAATTACTTCCAAACCCATTGCACAAATTTCGAAAAGCTGGAGTGGAAGAAACCAGCACATTCGAATTGGCGCAGGCCAAGAACTGGTCTAAGATGGCGGGCATAGTTGATGATGGGTGGACAGTGGTAGTCGGACAACCAGCCAGTGAAATCCGCGAGGAGAAACAAATTGAAGAATGGGAGCGCTCGAAGGGTGGATGGTCTGGATTTGGTAAACATCCTCAGAATTGGATGGACCATAAGAAATTACACCTTTCATCAGAGAATGAATTAGGTTCTGGAAGTTATGGACTTGTGCAGCGCGTTACGTATGGTGCTGTCACCATGGCCCGCAAACAGTGAGCATTGCCTGTGCTACCCTCATTATATGACTTCGTAAAGCTGATTGAATCTCAGCGTGGTACCTCGAGGTGGAATGACGGTCGAGAAACTTCGTGAGGAAGCTAATGCCATGGAGGAATTGGCGCATAAACATATTTTGAAGCTGGTTGGGACATATACGTTGAAGCGCAAACATTTATATCTCCTCCTATATCCTGCAGCCACTTGCGATTTAAGTACATTTCTCGACGATATAGATGGGATTCGATCGGATACGTGTGCGGATAGGGATGATGCGATGAAAAGGCTCCATGCTCTTGGACTCAAGGATATCGGGAAAATCGACGATTTGTGTATGTTAAGACGTCCAATGCCTTATTCGGAACCAGCGCATATAAAGAGGACAGAAACAGCTTTGGGATTTTTACAACAAATCATGGGATGTATTACGGAAGCATTGGTGTTTGTTCATGAAAAAGGTATTCGGCATCGGGATTTAAAACCTAAGAATATTTTATTAAGTCCGGGTCGGGTATACCTCGCTGATTTCGGTATCGCGAGAGATGTTAAAGAATCGGAAAATAGTATAACTTGTGGTAGATATGGTACCCCTTCTTGGATAGCTCCGGAGGTTTATGATGGTGAAGATCATCATATGTCAACGGCAGATGTCTTTTCCCTTGGTTGTATATTCCTCAATATTGCGACGGTGTTATATGGAGATTCAGTTGAATTAGCGACATTTGACGAAGTAATGAAGGAGAAGGAATGGCCTAAAAAATACACGATGTTGTCAGATCATCTAAACAAATTAAGGGATAAAGCAATTAGAGCTGCGTTGGCTGATGAAGAAGAACCTAACTTCGACGCAAAAAATATATTGGGTCTTGTGGAGAAAATGTTACTATATGAAGCTGAACGACGACCTTCAGTAAAGGAGGTCAATGAAAGGTTATGTGAACTTGGAGGTTTGGATCAAATTTATCATTTATCTTGCTGTCATAAAAAGAACGATGTTATGTCTCGATCAATAAGTGAGCCTCATCATCCTTTTTTCATCCGAAAGTCATACTAATTATACGATTAGATTCAAAAATGAGAACCATTTCGGAATGTAGTTTATCATCCAAAAGTAGGATTTCAGAACTGGAGATTGAGAACAATGCTTTGAAGGAACGTCTTGCAACCCTTCAAAACAAAGATCAAACATACGAATTACGAATCGAGCATGAACGTAATCATGCAAAGAAACAAAACGATGTACTCAAAGAACGATATGAAAAACAATTAAAAGCAAAAACTGAAGCTTTAACCCGTGCAGAAGAACGCATTAGAGCATTAGAATCAAACATGGATCATAAACGTCGACCATTCCATAACAGAGGTAGAGGTCGAAATATCGTTCAAGAAAGTTCACACACAAACGATAACCTCAATATCAACAATCTAGCCTTCCACACAAAACACACCCTTTCTACTCAAAACAAAAGCGCAAAACCGGGACCCACAATGCCAGAAGGATATTTCCCCAGCATCCCACCCCGAAACCCATCTTTCACAAATTTAAAAGATATAACTCTTCAGCGTCGTCCTTCTGGTATCCCAATACCTACTCGCTCACCAACTCCCATTATCACTCCTCATAAATCATCATTTAGTTCCCCCGGAAGTGGAAATAGTACACTGGTTAGTAGTACGTATTCTGTGTTTTCGAATCGGAGTAAGATGACGGATGGAAGTATTACTCCGGTGGAAAGTCCTGGGGAAACGATGAGTCCACCTGATAGTCCGATTTCTAGTGTGAGGGGAAAAGGGTTGAATTCGGAGTGTATGAGGGGACCACAGTTGAATAATGGGAGAATGAAGATAAATAATAACGGGAAGGAGAGGACGATTAAACCTACTTGGGCGAAAATGGTTAGGGGGAATGTTTCTAAGGTTTGAGAGGTGGAATGAATGAGAGAATTTATGAATGAACGAAACAGAATCGGAATACCATGAGAGGAATAGACTTCCTACAAGCGAGCGACTAGAGAGAGATACCCGTCGCTCTGGCGACTTTTAGGAGTGGAGGCCAGTAAGAGAAAGAGATCGAGAAGCTGTATAGCATCATAGCATCTTCAATATAGATTAACTTGGAGTACATGCATTGATAGAGCAATGAAAAGAGCAACGAACAATTTCAAACAAAGAATCAATATTGTATACTCGGCTTAGTATTATCTTTACTTGCCGTATTGATAAATAAATAATCAAAATTTATCTTGTTCAGAAAATATAAGAATAAAGATCTTTCCATACTAATCTTTTTTTTCCCCAAAAAATATGTATTTATTCATGTTTGATAAATAATTACAATAATATATAAATATATAAATCTCCTATACAAATTATACAATAAATTTATTAATCATCCCACTCAATATCTACACACTATAAAGATTATAATCTTTATCACTAATAATCATATTCCCACAACAGGTCATAAAATACTCTTCTCGTCAAACCCCTAAATCTTAAATCTTAAATCTCAAATCTCAAATCCCTAATCCTTATTTGACCTACTTCCCCCTTCCACCCCCCATATCTCCAATTCCCATTCTCTACTACCCTTTCCATCACTCTTCTTCCTTCCTATTTCTTCCCCCCTTATCTCAACCCATACCAATTGTTCCAGCATTCTCGTATTCCTCAGTCTAATTAACAGATATGCTTGGATATATATTTATATTTCTACTCTCGCCTTCATTATCCCTACCATCTTCTTCTATTTTCCTTCTTTCCCTTCTTTTCCTTCCGCCTTGTCTTCATGTACTTTCATCTTCATCTCCATTCTCTAATAACCTTACTATTACTCCTACATTTATCTCTTATTTATCCTCCCCTCAGCCCTCTTACCTTCTCCCACCCAGAACATCCCCCCAAGAATTCACATATCCCTCACAGTAGCAATACCCTAAAACCTCGCACCTCCACCTCTATCCTCAAATTCCCCTCCTCTCCCTCTCCCTCCTAACCCTCATAGCAGCCGCCAACCTTAATCCCTGTTTCCTCTTCCTCTGTCTATAAGTTTCTTTTGCCCTGCCCATTTTCCCTCTTTCTACTACTATTTCTTTAATCATCTCTTTATTTCCTTTCTGTACTGCATTTTCGTTTCGAATGTTCGTTTGTGTGGATGTTTGCAGGGGTTCTTATTGTGTACTATTGCTTCTATTCTTCTTGTTTATTTCCACAGAAGTAAGCTCCGTATTTTCCATTTCTGGTTCTGTTATTTCTTCTTCGCTCAGTAAATTCGACGGGGTATTTATTTCTCTGTCCATCTCCTTCTCCCTTTCACCAGACCCGTCAACTAACATAACAGACATAACAGGTGGAACAGACAAAACAGGTGAAACAGGTGGCGTAACCACAATCTCCGGCACCATCTGCACCTGAACTTCCATCTCCACATCCCTCTCCCCTCCTCCTTCCACCACCTCCCTCCCCCCAAAATCAAACACCCCATCCCTCCCATCTCCATCCCCATCCCTCCTCCCATCCTCCCTCCCATCCTCCCTCCCATCCTCCCTCCCATTCCCCCCCCTACCCCACCTTCCCCTCTTCGACCCCACCGAAAAAGGCGGCGAAGTAAGCACCCACGAAACTGGACTCAACGGCGCACTCAACGGCAAAGGTCTCGGAAACATAAGTCCAAACGCTATCTGCAACGCTTTCCTATTCGGACTATCAACCGGCCAAACACAAAAAACCACCCTCCCAATCCTCTTCCTCCTCTCCGGTCCAAAAATCGGATGAAGCAAAAAATCCCTCACTGTACCCACCGCTATCCGCGCCGCAAGTCGATGCGGGAAGGTTTCATGTCCTGTTGAGAGAGCGGGGATGGCTATTGTTGTTGTGTTGATTTTATAGTTTTTCGTTTTTAGTGGGGTTGAGCGATTGGTTGGGGTATTTATGCTTCGCAGGGAGTTTGCGGGTATTTATGCGTGTATCTCTGGAGTTTGGTGTGATGATATATTTGCATCCGTCATTATTGTATCCGTGGGTTCGTTTTTCGCGATTATACTTTCTATCTTCTCTGTCTCTGTCTCTGTTTCTATATCCGACTCATTTATAGCCTCATCATTTGCTATTCCTTCGCTCATACCATTCTCCACGATCTCCCTCCGTTCCTCCTCCTCTTCTTCCCTCACCCTTCGTTCCTCTCCCACCTTCTTCCGTTTCTCCTCCTCCCTCCCCGCAATCCCCATCCCCTCTACCAAAACCCCCCTATAACAATTAACCAACAACTGTTTCACCAACGGCAAACTATAACTTTATCCGCGAAATCCGGGGTATGGGTATGAATGATATATTTTGGTCTTTTTGTTCCCTCATCCGTTTCATCTCTCTTCTCATTCTCCATCTCATTCTCCATCTCATTCCTCACACTCACTCCATCTCCACCTCCACCTCCACTAGCACTCGCACCACCCCCAAATCCAAAACTCCCACTAACCCCACAATCACCCGCATTCAACCCCTTTGGCCAAACCTTCTCTCTCCACCGGACTGATTCCTCTCCTGCGAAATAATCAACAAGTCCCGGTAGTGAAGTTCCCTGCATCCCACTCCCCAGCATTCCACCCCACAGCATCCCACACCCCACTATCTCCCTCCCTCCCAACGACTTCCCCTCCCCCTCCGAACAATCGACACCAACTACATTACTCAAACTTGAAACAAAAAGCGGATATCAAGCCGAGGATTGAGAAATCGGCGAAACAATCGCAGTGCAAGGATAGAAAGGGAGAGAAGCGAGACGGAGTTCGAGGGGGACGAGGGGATCAGGGGAGGAGGAGAGGAGGAGGCCTTGGGGAATGGGGGGAAGGGGTGGTGGTGTGGTGGATGAAGAGGGTTTTGAGGGGTTGGGAATAGATGGTTGCTTGATCAAGAGGGGTTGGGTTGCTGTGTTCATGTTCATGTTTATTTTTTAAGGATTGAGTGATTTTGATTTGCTGGGTGCGTTTAATATAAATATACAATGAAGAGAAGAGAAGAAAATGATAGAAATTGCACCTCTTTTATTTATAAGGGGAGAAATAATTTCTGTCGTCCTGTTAGGGTACTGACTGATGAATTGAAGTACCGGCTGCATATACATCACAAAGTGTCGTCAAGCCGCCATTGAAATTCATTCACACTTACGAGTACACTCTTTCAAATAAAATCGTGACGTTTTCTTTGTATCTTGAGAATAGGGTAACAGTGCCAACACTTGTGGCATGTGAAAACAAAGGCGTATTGTTGAAGCGCGGGGAGGTTTAATGGGTGGAACCGGAAGCAGTTTTAACAAAGATGTATCTTTGCTTGGTATAACTCACTGGAGGAAAGATGTAAATAATTACCTAAGATTTCCAAATGTCCCCTTTCACGTTAAAATCCCAATAATAATACTAGTCAGTATGATACAAAATTAATTATGCGCTTGACAATAGGTATATATTAAAAAGGTAGTATACCAGAATTGAAGTGCTTTGGTATCATAACTCCAAGCCCCTTACACCATTCCCTTTTATAAACAACCCGTACAATCCAAATGCTGATATTACCCGAACCCCATTTATGCATACTGTCCGTCTGTCCCATTATGTCCAGTTAATTATTACTCTTAAGTGTGTATGTTTTCTTTCCGCGGATCGCCGAAAGATTTCCCGGATGTCTTTTCGATGGCTAGTTTTCGGTGGCCGTTTTTCGATACGATTATCGCAATAAGGTTATGTTATTAGAAAAATATCCATCATCCTCATCCCCTCCTTTAATACCTCCGGATTTATCGCTCCACCTTAGTCCCCGACGTCCTTTCCATGGTTGTTTTGCGATAGAGTTGCTAATTCTCGCAGTATTGTGATATGATATTATTCAAACGGCCTCGATCATTTACCCCATCAAAACCTTCCAAGTGTCGAAACCCCCAGTTTATCGTTCCGCTGTACTCAAAACCAATCCATCCAATGCCCCTTCTAACCATCTTCCCAATTCTTCTGCCTGTCTCCTCATTCCCGTAATACCTACTCCACCTCCTCTGGCACTCCTCAAACTCGCCGTCTCACTTCCTTCTCCACTTCTTATAATTTCCCTCTCATGACCTCCATCTGGTGAACCCGGTTGTGATATTGATATTAAACCCTCTCTCTGAATCTGCGGTGTTCCTGTTCCTGATACTCCGGGTGCTGGACCTATTGCCACGAATAATAACCCACAAGCTAACTTTCGTATTACCATTACCCCGAATTCCATTTGTATTAATATACTTTTCGTTTCTCGGGATTTGGGATCAGGATCATTTGAAGATGCGCCATTTGAAGGGAGAGCATCTGATACGGTTTGCGATGGAAATGGGGAGTAGAGAGTCCAGAGTGATAGGGCGAGGGTACCTTGGTGACGTAGTATTGAGGCTGGTGAAGTTGATGAGGTACTGAGAAGTTTTCCAGTCGGGGTGAGAAGCATTAGTGTATGGAGATGTGATGATATATTATGCTGCAAGAAGGTGGATATTCTTTTACTTAGAAGCATCGTTTGTCTATGTGGAGGATTGGACGTCATGATTGCTTTTGAGTTTGGTAATGTTCTGTGAAATAAGGTGTTAGTTTATTAATAGAGTTGTCGCATTCACAACTGAGTCAAAGCATATGTAGTAGGAACACTTGGATTAAACGTACAATGAATTAATGATTGCCCCAAGATAATGATAATAATAATAATAATAATAATAATAATAAGACAAGTGGATTGGAATTCCTGACTGATAAGAGGTTGTCGGATGCAGCAGGGGAATCTTAGTACATGATTTATGGCTTGTTTGTAGAAGAAGTGAAGGTTTAAAATATTTGATTGGGGTTAGAGCACCGGTGGAGGGCACCTGGAAGTCCTCGGCAAAGTCTTCAGGTTTGAAGGGTAGAGGTAGAACTAGTACTAGTGAGCTCCAGTTTGCTACAGAAGCAATAGATAGACACAGTTTCGATATCAGTTTTTTTTATAAGAAGGGAAGTTCACATATTTATCAGGAAATCGCCATAGTAATAATAGTTACAGCTCAGGGGATTAAATTAAAATACCATATCTAGTACTTAGCTAGAGGTCACAGCTTGATAAAATGATTCAATATACTAGATAAAACAATCAAATCATATATTTTTAAAGAAACCAATTGACGATTGTCCTAAAATGATTTTTCGATGTTGGAGAATAGTATTGGCATGTTGAGTCAATCACTCACTGTTAGAGATACTAAAAGATAAACTATTGATGAGGAGGGCTTCCTAATAAATACTAAAAGTCGACGGTCGATATTAGTATACACAAATTAATATCTTGCAATTCCAATACTTCCTATAAATCCTCTTCAGTCAGACTTTACTTCTTTTTATGTATACATACTCGAAAATCGAATCCTACTTTACGATATCAATCTTCCATACCAGATAACATCAAAGTCGACATCACACGCACAGACACATATATTCTGCAGCATGACGGTTCTCTCGGATTGGATAGAAAATTGATAACACCTTTCAACACCTTCACATTTCTCCCTCTTCCCTATACTAGGATATTATGTCATTATGGACGTTTCTTATGTAAAGTATCGCTTGACTTAAATGGCTCGACAAATTAACAACTTGGTGGATTTATTCTTTGAAATATTAGCTTTTGGAGCTGGGGATAGAATATTTTGAAGAGTAGAGGAAAAGAGTTGGAATAAAGGACTACGAGTAGGAGTAATAAATGAGTGTCATTCTTTCATAGAAGAAATCTCACAATATTCGGTCCCGAAATCACTAGACACTTCTAATCTCCTAACACTTGAGGAGCCGTCAACGTTTTTATCGGCTTTTGCTTATAAACAAAGGACGTTGAAGACAACCCCACGTCATAGATAACCGAAGAGAGGGGCCCAGAAACATCCATTGTTGAAGTATTTTTATACCCCTCTCTCAATATAAAACACATTTACCTCTTCAATATCCGTGGACATCCTCGATTACTTTCGCACAAGGTTCCCATCTTATGTACTCATTTCGCACTTTAAACAAATTCATCAGACCATCCTTTTTACGACAGAGTATTGTAGATTCAGGTAAGATATCCATCGACAAATACTTCAATCACCCTCTCTTTCTGAAGCTTGCTAATACTTCAATATCTTCATAGCTAGCAGATCATTCGCAACAATGTCGACAGATACGAAGAGCTATAAGTTTAACCACTCGATGTATGAATATAAAAATCAACGTGATGTTCCTTCATACTTCGATACTAATTCATCCATAGGATTCGAGTTAAAGATCCCCAAAAATCTGGTAAGTCTGTACTTCGCACATGCATTCAATAGCTCCCATAACTAATCATTCATAAAGTCAAATTCTATGAACTTTTAGGAATGAAGATGATTCGAAAGATTGAACAGCCTGAAGCTAAATTCGATCTTTATTTTATGGGTTACGATTCACCAAAAGCTCTCTCCCATGGAAATCATTTCAGTGATCGAGAAGGATTAATCGAATTGACACATAATTATGGGACAGAGCATGATGTCGACTATAAAGTTTCAAATGGAAATACTGAACCTCATAAAGGTTTTGGGCACACTTGCATATCTGTTGATAATCTTCAAGCAGCTTGTCAAAGAATTGAGGATGCTGGTTACACATTTCAGAAGAAATTATCTGATGGACGTATGAAGCATATTGCTTTTGTATTGGATCCAGATAATTATTGGGTTGAGATTATCGGGCAAAATCCTATCGAAAAAACCGAAGATGTCAAAACTACAGATGTTGAGACATACCGAATGGTAACACTTTCTTTTCTTCCCTCAATAATCAATGATAGCTAATAAAGTTGTAGAACCACACTATGATTCGTATCAAGGATCATGAAAAATCATTGAAGTTTTACCAGGAAGTAATGGGGATGTCACTCGTGAGAACAGCTGAAATGCCAGGTGCTAATTTTAACCTTTACTTCCTCGGTTACCCTGGAGAAAAAGGTCTTCTTACATCATCGACAGCCCATCGTGAAGGTTTATTAGAATTGACATGGAATTATGGTACTGAAAAGCAGGAAGATTTCAAATATCATAATGGTAACGATGAACCACAAGGTTTTGGTCACATCTGTACGTGGTTATACGAATTATCTTGATTTATGAGTGATATTAATTTTGTAATAGGTGTATCAGTTGATGATTTGGATGCAGCATGTCAGAGGTTTGATGAAATGGGAGTTAATTGGAAGAAGAGATTGACTGACGGCCCGTATGAAAAATGTGGCATTCATTCTTGATCCTGATAACTATTGGATTGAGGTTATTCAAAATGAAAAGTTAAAGGGAAGAGCTAATTGGTAAATTTTGAGTGGGATATCAACTCAATCGGGTACATCAAAAGTTTGCATGATGCAGTATTGGAAATTGCAGATATTAATCATAGTAGCAAATGAGTGCATATTTCATCATTTCAGGTGACCTTTTCTTTTACATATGGTGATGACAATTCAAATGGACATGGTTCTTGGATGGGGGCTTCTCATTGATATGTCGCACATTATGTAGTAGTATAATGCGGGGTTCAATGCGGGGTGGGGGTATACATCTATTTCATCAGATCTCATAAATTTCAATGACGAATCGGAATCTATATCCTTTATTGTCATACCATGCAAATTATCAAACCTTTCCTGTTCCTGTTTAATCTTATTGTTTTTCATTCAATTATTTCAGTTCTCTTTCATAGCAATCTTAAATAGACAAAGATTGATTCTATTCTGCAAGGCAGATTGATCAATATATAACCACCGCGGATCAGTTTATGGAAGATATCAAAACTTATTACTCAGTCTTCAAGAATCTTTCAATTCCCTTCAAATACTCAAATCAACTCAACTCAAATCCTCACAATGACACCATCAATACTACCCACTCCCAGCGAGGCCTCTGACCCCTCAAACCGTCCCAAAATCCTCATCCCAGAAAAAGTATCCATAGACGGCCTCACCCTCCTAGGTCACAAATACGAAATCCACCAACCCAAAAACCTCACCCCTACCGACCTCCTCACCCTAATCCCCCACTACTCCGCCCTAATAATCCGTTCCGAAACAAAAGTCACATCCGACATCCTCGCCGCTGGGAAAAATCTCAAAGTCGTCGCGAGAGCTGGAGTAGGTGTTGATAATATTGATGTAGAATCCGCGACTACACATGCTATTATTGTGGTTAATTCACCTAGTGGGAATATTGCTGCCGCAGCTGAACATACCATTGCGTTGTTGATGGCTGTGGCGAGGAATGTTCCTGCGGGGGATAGGTCGTTGCGGGGTGGTGGGTGGGAGAGGGGGAAATTGGTAGGTACAGAGGTCGGTGGGAAGGTTTTGGGGATTGTAGGGTTGGGGAAGGTGGGGCTTAAGGTTGCGAGGTTGGCGGTAGGGTTAGGTATGAAGGTTTGGGCTTTGGATCCTTATGCTAGTCCGGAAATTGCAGAGGCGAATGATGTATTTTTGGTGAAGGATCTGGGGGATTTATTACCCATGGTGGATTTTATGACTATTCATACCCCGCTTATTGCTAGTACGCGCCCGTTACCTGGGAAGCAGGAATTGGGAATGATGAAAAAATCGGC